AAACTTTAAAAGAGACTTTTTATGGATATCTTTGAGAAATGGCTTTCTTCTTGCCACTCTTCTATAAAGGCCAGATTTGTGCAGTGCACGACTGATTGTTGTCCTATGGACAGACTCTCCCACCTCAGCTGTAGCTATCTGCAGTTCATCCAGAGTGATCATGGGCCTCTTGGCTGCATCTCTGATCAGTCTTCTCCTTGTTTGAGATGAAAGTTTGGAGGGACGGCCGGGTCTTGGTAGATTTGCAGTGGTCTGATACTCCTTCCATTTCAATATAATTGCTTTCACAGTGCTCCTTGAGATGTTTAAAGCTTGGGAAATCTTTTTGTATCCAAATCCGGCTTTAAACCTCTCCACAACAGTATCTCGGACCTGCCTGGTGTGTTCCTTTGTCTTCATGGTTCTCTCTGCGCTTTAAACAGAACCCTGAGACTATCAAAGAGCAGGTGCATTTATACGGAGACTTGATTACACACAGGTGCATTCTATTTATCATCATCAGTCATTTAGGACAACATTGGATCATTCAAAGATCCTCACTGAACTTCAGGAGTGAGTTTGCTGCACTGAAAGTAAAGGGGCCGAATAATATTGCACGCCCCACTTTTCCGTTTTTTATTTGTTAAAAAAGTTTAAATTATCCAATACATTTCGTTCTACAGTAGGTCCCATTTTGTTTTGTCGTCTTCACTCACGCTTTTCATGAATCACGCAGCTGCGTGAAACATATTACATCTTATTGCCACAAGGTGGCAGGTTAAGTCCGCTTTAGCTCTGCCAGCGACTTAAACGCTCAGGTATAAGTCTGCGTGCAAACGTTATCTGCCTAGTGATACTATGTTGGCCGAATGGTTTGAGTTGTAGGTTAGGATCCGAGGGATCTGGGTTCGATTCTTGTCTGAGGCAATTTTGGTTGCACACCTTTTGATTGCTTGTGTGCAATTACGTAACGTTATCAGCTTGTTATCTTCTTTCCTTGTCAAAAGGATTTTTTGCTCACTTCGGGCCTATCAAAACGCGGTTTAAAGTCAAAGGATTGACTCTGTAAAACACTGTACTAACTTACTGCACTGTATTGTAAGTACTGTAACAATACAATTGTATTTTACTTTATTACTTATTTTTACTTCTTATTTTTTAATAAAAACACTTCTCAAAAGTTCCTTTCTGACTTCTTCTACAGTATGGGATAGCCAGCAGCAAGTGCGTTATTGAACGTGAAACATTGGTACAAAACAAACACGAGTGTACACTGTATTCTGAATACTTTTACTTTGATTAGCAATATCTAGGCTGTGTATAATTACAAAAATTTAAACTACACATGTTACATATAGCTACCATTAATTAGGAATTCTAAAATGCACAGGAGTAGCAGATCATACAGTATGGCAAACATTTGCATTAACTTGCATATAAGGCATTTTAAGCGTCCCGCACATACGCACGGCTCATTCACTCATATTAGATCCAGTGCTTTCTCCAGCGCCTGTGTGGCGTAGCAGGATTGTCCAAGACTTTCGCTTGGACAATCGGGGTTTGAGCCCCGGCCAATCCTCAAATTTTATTAGCGGGCGGAGTTTATGAATCAGATTACTCCGTTACTGAATAAAGTTGCATTTTTTTCCTGCAGTTTGGTTGGTGCAGATTGTGAAGTTTACAACAGTTTACTACAGTCTAGCAACTATTTTAAATGTGTTGGCCTAATTACTAAGTTTTTTTTATTTAACACTGGAGAAAACGTGGTCGGTTTTTGCTCGCCTGAGTGATAGGCTATGTGAAGATGTTTTGCATATGTGAAGATGAACTGGATTTTCGACATTCCTGTGGACTCGAGCCCTGGTCAATCTAGTTCAATACAGTTCACAAACATAGCAGACATTCATCAGCCAACTCCATTATATTTGTAAAACACGGAGAAAGAAAGTTTTCCCCCCATCATGAATTTGTATTAGCAATATCGTGAGAATGTGTTTTATGTTTAAAAGTGTTGCTACTGAATGCTATTTCAAAGTAAGTGGTATAACTGGTATAACTTTCAAATTGTTAGAATACTCATTTTGAGTAATTGTATTCGGTAGAGTTACTGTACACTTCAAAAACTCAGCCGAGATCGGGAGCGGCATGAGGCTGCGTCAGCCCTCGCTACAACAGCAGCGTCTAAGAGCGCCTTTAGCAATTGCTATCTGAAATCTATCTGTCCTAAAGACAGAAGAGCCTGTGCGCCTAGGCCTGGGTAGGCCGGTGCCTACCAGTTTTTTTCTTGGCCTGGACTCAAATTTGTTCTTCGCCTCTCAAGTCATTAGCCTTTTTTATTAAAAGTCATAATTTAAATATTGTTATTTGTATACACAAATTATTGCTAAAGCCTAAATGTTGCGTTCTAATGTTTTAAGAAAATATAACCCCCTGAGCGTCATCACGTTCATACGTTGCTTCAAATATAGTCCTGTTTATTGGCTGAACAATTTTGTCCAATATCATATCACACAGCGTGAAGCTCGTTCCCGAGAACAACAGCTATTCCTCGTCTTAAAGATTGACAACGCTCTCAAAACATTCACAACAGAGCAGCCTTTTTCATTTTAGTTTTAAGACAGTTCAGCGTGAACTTTGTGAGGTAGAGTAGCCAGAGGCCCGGGCCCGTAGGTCCCAGAGGAGGAGGGTCAGGCCAGGCTCGCCTCGCACTGATGAGGTAAACTCTAGGCCTGTGTGAGACACACTGTGGGCCTCATGTATGAAACCTGCGTACGGCCAAATCAGGGTGTAAATGAGGCGTACGCAAAATATTACACTTTTCCGCATTTATCTATCTGGACGTGAGCGTACAATATGCAAAAAATATACGCCAGGTCTGGAGGTGGTGTAAATCTATACGCTGATCTCAACCTTCGGCACAACACGCCAAAACACGCATGAAATTCAAGATATGGACAACAATAAACATATTTCCTCTGGCAAAATTATATGCTGTGTTTTCATTGAGGATCATGTTTCAAAATTTGAATTTGCGCATCAGAAAAAGTCTAATGGAAACACGCAAACTTCGAATAAATCACAGCTCATGATGAGAACCTTCTATTAAATCTGACTTGTGTGTGTATTATTTTGATCTGTATGTTTTTAAAATGTGAAGCGCTTTGTGATCCTGGACAGTGAAAGGCTCTATATAAATACACTTTACGCAACAGGGATGTGTGACCCATCTATTGCTGTGGCAGGCTCTGCGCTGCGTAATTACGCACGGCTATTTGTATTCCTCATTCACATCTGGTAAAGCAATGTGTTATTTCATTAGATTTGTGTAAGCCTCACACAGACACACACCCCAATAACGCATCGATGGTATTGCTCACTCACAAATGTCTCACTGCCCTGTCCAGAGTGCGCAGCGAGTACCGTGAGAGGTCGCGCCACATGTGCAGAAGTTTTGGCTCCAGATTTTCTTTGTGAAATCTGGACCGCAAACGCTCTCTGAAGTGTACAGCGCTTCAATACGCACTTCTACCCCGAGCCAGGCTGCGTCCAAGACGCTGCAGACGCTTCATTCATGAGAGCCACCACTGCATAATATATATGAATTAATTCATTCATTCAATCAATCTACCATTAATCAGGAATTCTAAAACGCAAATGCACAGGAGTAGCAGATCATATGGCAAACATTTGCATTAACTTGCATATAAGGCATTTTAAGCGTCCCGCACATACGCACGTGTGTTGGCCTAATTACTACGTTTTTTTTTTTTGAACACTGGAGAAAACGTGCTCGGTTTCAGGTGGGAGTTAAGAGGTTAAAAGCAGAAGATTTTCCGACAATGTTCCTAACCCTGCAAAGATAAAAAGCCAGTACAAAAGTGGAATAATTTTATCTTCATAACTTGGTGCTGATTGTGGAGTTGTATCAAAAGTCTTTAACTTGTACTCGAACCCAGGTCCTCCTGCACCAAAGACTTGAGCTCTATGACTGGGTGTTATAAAGCTCAAGGTGGCACTGGCAAGTGCCACCTGGTGGTTTTTTGGGTCATTGCAGCATCACTGGGAAAAAAAAAAAAAAAGACGCGTGTTTCACACGTGAGTCTCGTGCTATTCACGCGTGAAAGGCGACAAAACGAAATGGGACCTACTGTACTTCACGATTGTGTCCCACTTGTTGTTGATTCATGACAAAAAATTAAAATTTTATATCTTTATGTTTGAAGCCTGAAATGTGGCGAAATGTTGAAAGGTTCAAGGGGGCCGAATACTTTCGCAAGGCACTGTATATGTACCACATATGATCATCAAACAGAGGACGGGAAGACACATACACACACACAAACACGGGGAGTGTAAGAGAAGCTACCCTAGCTATAATCAAGTCCAGGCTGAAAATGGTTCATTGTAGGCATGCCTAGGACTGATGATAATCAGGAAGCGGATCATAATTTTATTATTATCATTATTTATTTATTTATAATTGCCATTTGTATGTATTTTTACAGTGTGTTTTAATTGGTTTTAAATATTGTCAATGTGAAGCACTTTGGGTTGCATTCTGTATGAACTCTGCTATATAAATAAGTGTTGATTGATTTATTGATGGATAGATGTACCACCTATGATCCGCAGAAAGAGAGAGGACAGGAAGACACACACCTCTGTACACACACATGTACCACCTATGATCTGCAGAAAGAGAGAGGACAGGAAGACACACACCTCTGTACACACACATGTACCACCTATGATCCGCAGAAAGAGAGAGGACAGGAAGACACACACACAACTGTACATACACACGTGTAATTCTGAGCCTAGAAGAAGCTACTTTTGTCGACAGCAAAAAAAAAACTACAGCTTTTATAGTGATGAGGATGTGGTGTGTGTGTGTGTGTGAGCATGTGCGAGAGATACTTGTGTGTGTATGTGTGTGTGTGTGGTCCTGAAGTGTCTGAGTGTGTGTGCGCGGTACAGTAACGTGTGTGATCCTGTAATGTGTGTGTGTGTACGTCTCTTACCGTGTGCTGACAGTCTGTGTTGAGCCGCTGCAAGAGATGCCTCTCAAAGCTCTCCATCGATGGTTTCAGGGACACACTCACCCCACTGAGGCTACAGGGCAGAGGGGGGAGGGCCCGCGGCTTCAGCAGAGCACCCCCTGGTGACCACAGACCAATGTTAGTGACTACAGACCAGTGTTAGTGACCACAGACCAGTGCTAGTGACCACAGACCAGTGTTAGTGACCACAGACCAGTGCTAGTGACCACAGACCAGTGCTAGTGACCACAGACCAATGTTAGTGACTACAGACCAGTGTTAGTGACCACAGACCAGGGTTAGTGACCACAGACCAGGGTTAGTGACCACAGACCAGTGCTAGTGACCACAGACCAGGGTTAGTGACTACAGACCAGGGTTAGTGACTACAGACCAGGGTTAGTGACCACAGACCAGGGTTAGTGACTACAGACCAGGGTTAGTGACTACAGACCAGTGTTAGTGACCACAGACCAGGGTTAGTGACCACAGACCAGGGTTAGTGACCACAGACCAGGGTTAGTGACCACAGACCAGGGTTAGTGACTACAGACCAGTGCTAGTTACCAAAGACAGTCTCTGTTTACATGCAGGCTCAGACCCCTCTTGTCTTAGTATATACCCAGGCTCCGTACTGGATTGGATGGGGGTGGGGGGGAGTAGTTTGGGGACCATCATTGCTAATAACACTCTGAGAAGCGTGGAAGGGGCTCAGCTCTGGGCTCAGGATTAGAGAAACACAGTGTCATGTCGGCTGCTGACAGACTGTGGTGGAGGAAGAGGAAAGGACTTTTAGATGAGGAGCCAAAGTAAAAAAAAATTGGTTAACTTTTGTGTTTTGTTTACTTTAAATTCTCAGTGTCTGTCAGTGAATTCAGGTGCAAATAAATCAGTAATTAAAATACAACTTCTACCTTTTCAGCTGCTGTTCTTGATTTTATGAGACCTGTGTGGTCCAAATTAACAAGTTTAGCCATAGAAGGCAGGAGTCCCATGATCCCGGGCTTCTACAAGTGATCGCTCACTCCTTCTTTCCCACTATTTCAAGTGTTTAGCCCATTTATTTTCTATTCTTCTGCAACTGCAATTGTGAATAGATAGATAGGTAGATAGATATTTTATTTGCCCCCAGTAGGAGGAATGAAGGTGTCCAGCAGCAGAAGACTCATCCGGGTTTGTTGTAAGATAAGATAAGATATACTTTATTGATCTCACAAAGGAGAAATGTACATGTCACATTTGGCATGGATAGAAACACTCAAGATTGTGCAAAAAGAAAGAAATGTGCAAACATGTTAAATGCAGGATATATTATGTACAATAAAAGTGGCATTTTTAAAAAGTGGCAATTAAGAAACAGTGTTAATAGTAGTGCAGGTCTTTTCAGTCTTAATGCAGTGACTTAAAGTGACTTGTTGTACAGTCTGACAGCAGTGGGGATAAAGGCCCTGCGGTAGCGCTCCTTCTTGCACTGAGGGTGCCTCAGTCTTCCACTGAAGGAGCTCCTCAGCTCCTCTACAGTCCTGTGCAGTGGGTGGGAGGTGTTGTTCATGATGGAGGTGGCTTTGGCTAGCACTCTCCTGTCCCTCACCTCCTCCACAGAGTCCAGGGAGCAGCCCAGAGTGGAGCTGGCCCTCCTGACCAGCTTGTTCAGTCTGCTTCTGTCCCGCTCTGTGCTGCCCGGGGCCCAGCACACAGCAGCGTAGTGTATGGCAGAGGCTACAACAGAGTCATAAAAAGTCCTGAGCAGGGGCCTGCTCACTCCGAAGGACCTCAGCCTCCTCAGAAGGAAGAGGCGACTTTGGCCCTCCTTGTACAGGGCGTTGGTGTTATGGGACCAGTCCAGTTTATTGTTAATTTAAACACCCAGGTACTTGAAGCTGTCCACCAGCTCAATGTCCTCCCCCTGGATGTTCAGCAGCGTGTGGGAAAGTGGTTTTCTCCTGAAGTCTATGATCATCTCCTTGGTCTTACTGGTGTTCAAGCACAAGTGGTTGCGCTCGCACCAGTCGACAAAGTCCTTGATAACCGATCGATATTCCAGTTCGTTCCCCTCAGACACACAGCCCACGATGGTGGAGTCGTCGGAGAACTTCTGCAGGTGACAGCTGTGTGTGTCGTGTGTGAAGTCTGAGGTGTAGTTGGTGAAAAGAAACGGTGAGAAGACAGTAAGTAAGTAAGTAATCTTTATTTATATACCGCCTTTCACAGACCAAAGTCACAAAGCGGTTTACAATTGTTATTTTTTGGGAATTGTCCTCTCACTCCACACAGAGAGATGGGAGCGGGGTCGCCAGTACAGGAGGCACATGCCATACTTATTGTACATATTTTTAGTGGTAGGGGAAACCGGAGTACCCGGAGGAAACCTACGCAGACACGGGGAGAACATGCAAACTCCACTCAGAAAGGTCCTGGTCCGACCAGGATTCGAACCCAGGACCTTCTTGCTGAGAGGCGAGAGTGTTATCCACTCAGCCGGCGTGCTGCCCCTGAGGGGCCCCAGTACTGCAGACTACCACCTCAGACTCACAGCTGCGCAGCCGCACGCACTGTGGTCGGTCCGAGAGGTAGTTGATGGCCCATGGTTGATGGTTCTTATATACAGCATTAGCCTGAGCTGACCAGTCCAGTCTGTGGTCCAGGTATTCTCCAAGGTATTTGTAAGACTTTACCACTTCGATGTCCTGTCCATTTAGTGTGACCGGTTGATGGGAAGGGCTCTTGTGAAAGTCAATGATCACCTCCTTGGTCTTGGATGCATTGAGAATCAGACCATTTCTCTCACTCCAGTCTGAGAAGGCAGCCACCACCTCCCTGTACTTTGCTTCATCCCCCCTTTCACACATCCCACAACAGCGGTATCGTCCGAGTATACAGCTGTGGGAAGTATTATTTTGTCCTTAACCCAGTCTTGGTGCCACGGACGACTTAAGTCGCTGGGAAGAGCTCTGCGACCATGATGAGCAGAACATTAATGGCATGGCTGTGTCAGTTTTGACATCACCACCCCGGAAGGTATGGTGTTTTGTGAATAACAAAGAAACTGTGGATTAACTCTGACATAAAGGCCTTGGTGAAAGAAGAGAAGATGGCCTTTAAGTCTGAGAATAAAAAACGAATTATTTTGCACAGTGGTAGAGGGCAATAGTTAGGAAATTTCACTGGATTCATAGGTCATGAATCCAGTGAAATAGGTCACACACATTTTTACAGCAAAAAGTTACAGTTGATTGAAAGTGACATGTTTTGACATTTTGGACCAAAATAGGTACTTTAACTCAATATTTCTCAAAATTCCCACAGTAAAGGTTTCTGGTGTTTAGCACAGTGGCAGAGGGCAATAGTGAGGTCACAAATCCAGTGAAAAAAGTCGCACCCCTTATTACAGTAATAAGTTACATTTGATCAAATGTGACATGTTTTGACAAATGTTGGATATTTTGTACCAAAATGGGAACTTAAACTCAACATTTCTCAACTTTTCCACAGTAAAAGTTTCTATTCTCTAGCACAGTGGTAGATGGCAGTAGTGAGGTCATGAATCCAGTGAAAAAAATAACACACCTTTTTACAGTAAAAAGTTATAGTTGATCAAAAGTGACATGTTTTGCCCATTTTGGGGTATTTAGGACCAAAATGGGTATTTTAACTCAATATTTCTCCTAAATTCCACAGTAAAGGTTTCTGGTCTTTGGCACCATGGTATAGGCAGTAGTGAAGTCCTGAATCCTTCAAGCTTTGCCACATTTCCTAAATTTTGAACATTTTAAGTTTTTACATACTGTACTTAACATAAGGTTTCAACCACAAAAATTTATCTCCCCAACGCGCTTTCTGTGCGATGACAAAGCGTGACTCCAAAAGGCTGTTCTGCTATTACCGTGAGTTGTGAACAAAACGCGCACCATCTTTTCCCTGATGCGGGCCGCTTCTTTATGGAGCTGAAAGATGTGGGACCCTTTACCGCGGTCAATAACCATGAGGTAACATTTTCATACCGTGACACCCCTAGACACAGCATTTCACAAGGGGTCAAAACCCATGGGTCAGCAGTGCATAAATTTACGTTAGCGACTCTCTACACCACAAATGCCATTCTCCTAGTAGTGGGCTCTTGTACAAAAGAGAAAGATATTTAGCCCGAGCATACCCATGATGCCTCTTACCTGAGGGGGGGTTGTCCAGGCCTGGCATCTCTTCGTCCCCACACAGCAGAACATTCTCTGGGACCAGCGCTGAGGCCAGAGCCGAGTGGATCCTCACGGTACAGTCCACATGTGCTCCATCCAAGGCCTTCAGAAGCCCACTGTCTGAAACACAAGGAGGTCACCATCAGAGCTTCTCAGCGAAGTTTGCATGTTCTCCCGGTGTCTGTGTATGTTTTTTTCCCCCTAATTGCTCCCCCCACCACTAAAAACAATGCATGTGAGCTAAAATCCTCCTGCGCCCGTCCTCACCAAGAGCATTATTATCTGGACATGGGCCCCGGATCACTTGAACAGCCATTAAAAGCTGGGAACACAACTCTGGCTTCCTGCGGAGTACTGAATTACTATAAAATCCTTCTTTTAACAAGCAAGGCCATAAATGGTATGCCCCCCGCCCTAGCTCCAAGACACATTAGTATCTTATCAACCAAACCGAGCACTGCGCTCACAAAACACCAGACTTCTGGTAGTTCCTAAAGTGTCAAAAAACAATGGAATCAGCTTCCCATCTCCATCAAGAAAGCTGACACAGTCTCTACATTCAAGACGAGACAAGACTAGACAGTAGTAGTAACTACTAGTAGTAATCATTATTTATATACCGCCTTTTCACTGCACATCGGAGTCTCAAAGCGGTTTACAATTGTTATTTTTGGGAGTGGGGGTGCCAGTACAGGAGGCACATGCCAGACCTATTGTACTTTTTTTTTTTTTTCAGTCCACTTCAGCATATTAAAGGTGGTAGGTAACCTTAAGTCAGTTCACTTCTCGAGCCTTATCTCACAAAGTATTGTTCTATAAAACCCTTGCATCAAATCGTTTTCTATAATGCAAATTAAATGTTCTTTTTCTCAAGGTGAACAGGAGGCTGAGAGTCTGCAGAGTAGAGATCATGGAAATGACAAGAGACTCTCAGCTATTAGAGAGTGAAAAGACTAAAGAACAGATGATGCCAGACCTGCTGCACACAGTCTAACATCAGACTGCGTCATGTCCTCCGTCAGCATTCGTCATCTACAGCCAGTAGAATTCTGAGAAACATGAATGATAGACTGTTTGGACAGTGTGCTGTGAGGGGGGGATTTTGTGACATTACCACGGATGAAGTGTGGAATACTGTAATATTTAAGAGCTGACAAGAGTGAGTTGTGATTAAGTGTGTCCTTAAGGCCTGAGAAACAAGAGCAGTGAGAAGTGAAGTGGACATGAACAGATCCCGTTAGAGGAGCCAGCACCGCCAACAACACCGACCTTCATAATTCAGGAGCTATAAGAGGTGCTCTGGGGCCTCTGCAGCCTGCTTGCTGCATTCTGCTTGCTGCAGCCTGCTTGCTGCAGCCTGCGCTCCAATGCCTGCGCTTTGGGGCCTTTGAAGCTTGCGCTTTGAGGCCTGCACTCTTAAGCCTGCATCTGTAGCCTCTGCACTTTGAGGCCTGCGCTCTGCTGGAACCGATGTGGTACTGTCCGCTGTCATGGTGCTGAAGTGGTTCGTGTGAGTAGCATGTTGTAAAGGCTTCTCTCTGATCACCACCACACCTAGAGTTTTATCTTTATTATTCTATGTAACCTCCATTTATCCTGCTTGCACGGAAAGGATTAAACCCAGGACCTTCTTGCTGAGAGGCGACAGCTCCAACCAGTGTGTGTGTATACAGTATGTCGTTGGGTGCAAAAAGGACAGTGTTTTCTTGCATGAGGTTTAATGTGCTTTTATAAGTGTAAGCATACTGTGTGTTTTTATCATTCCATGTACTTTATACCTCCCGGAGCGCCACCACAACCCACGTGACTACTGCCCTAAGCCAGGTCCTGGTGAAATCAGGACACCTGTGCTTTGGGCACCGTGATCTATCGTCCCAGGTCGTGCACAAAAACCCGCAGGTAGCAGACCCGAAGTGCAGGATTTGAGCGCACTCAGTCAGTGCGTGTGAGTGTGTGTGAGTGTGTGTGTATGTCCGCTCACAGTGGATGGGGTTCTTCAGGGAGGGGTGCAGAAGGCTCCTAGGGGACCCGTCATGTAGATTCAGTCTGAAACAATAGACACACACATTAGCAACAGAATACTCTTGTTGTAAGTACGCTTTTAGCACCAAAACATGATGCTTCCGGAAAATACCGCAAGACCTCAAGACTTTAACACCACCTCATGTGACATCAACACAGCACTCCACTCAGCTGAGGAGAGGGACCTCATCATGAATTCAGGACTCTGGCTACAAATGCTTTAGAGCAGGCCAATTGCCTTTTGTTTGTTTCTTTATTAAAAGGAGTCTATGCATTTGATCTTGTACATATTAAAATTCTGACATGTTGGGGCTGAATACTTACTGCTCCCTCATCACTGATGTAGATGTAGAAACACCACTGTAGTAGATAAATTAGACGTTTCGATTTCTGTCCTTGATTTTGTGTTTATATGTTTGTTTTTGACATAAAATAAAAGTTTATACCAAAAAAATAGTGTGAAGAAATATCAATAACATATGTTTTTAAATAATTTATAATCATGATTTGATTTAATTTTTCACAACATTTAAAAATGTTTTGATATCCCGGTGCCGTTCAAAGGGAGATTTGCTATACCAACAGAGTGGCACTATTCCTGACTCGAGAAAGGCTCAGAGAGGCTCCGTGAGAGGCGACCGTGTGATCCCTCTGCGTAAGAGCACCTTCAGTCAGTCTGCCTGGTCCGTTAGAGGCACCAGAGAGTGGAACTCACTACCACAGACTGTTAGACAGCAGAGCACATGCAGGGCTTTTACACAGCACCTAAAACAATGGATGGTAAACACATACACCTGCCCACATTAACTGATGTATGATATGCTTATGCAGTCTTGTAAATAGTATATTTTTGAATGTGTGAACACAATGTTAGTCTTGAATGATGTTATCTCTGTCTTGTAATTTTGTCATGTTAATGTATTTTAATATCTTTTTAACATCACAGCCAGGGGACTACAGATGAAAAATAGCCTCCTTGGCTGATTCTGGCTTTTTTAACTCATGTTTTATCATGTGTTTTATTAAATTGCATTGTCCCCCTTTGAAATAAACTAAACTGAAACTGAAGCAGGTCCGGCTGAGAACCTCTCATTCTGGGTCTTGACCATAGTCTGTAAATATTAACGGACGTAGTCACGCCTATCTCTGCCGTTCTAACTAATGTGCCACAACTTCCGCGGTGTATGGGCAGTTTCAAAATCGCAGCGGGGGCTGGAAAATGTGAAAAACCGTATCTGCGCGTGCTTCAGCCGGCACGAGCCCCATTCATTTAACGAGTGCCTTCAAAAATTGGGTCTACCCCCATCGGCCCGGGGTCGTATTGCAAGCATGTCAGCGCACGTCATTTTGGCCGGGACCCGCCCCTACTAGTCTTGACCAAAGAGGAGAGCATAAAGTTTTAGTGGTAGGAAACTTGTGTGGACACGAGGAGAACAAGCAAATTCGACACAGACACAGGCAGAACATGCAAACCCCGCATAGAAAGAGCCTGCACATCCAGAAGTGGAATTTGTCTGTAATGTGAGCGTATATTACCTTTGTTTGCCCTCGGGGGGAGCTGTGGAGCCGAAGAGCTGCAGCAGTGTAAAGCCCCGCCCTCTGGCGTGGTGGGAGGAGTCTGCTCTGGTCTGGTGGGAGGGCTCTGCTCTGACAGTCAGCTCCACTAATTCCAGCACAAGAAGCACCCCAGGGATCCTCAGCGCTGTGTGGAAGTACAGCACCTACACAAGGAAGCAATCACTTTATCAAAAGTCCTGAGCGTTTAACCACAGCAGCAACATTTAAGAGAAAGTACATGTTGTCCATATACAGGTTGCACTTAAATACAAGCCGCAGGTTTTCATGTTTAAAATCAAGTGTCCAGCTAAAAACAATCGACTGTTTTATATTGGACACAATAGGATTTAAGAGCAAAGAACTGGAAGTGTGTATTAGTGCAAGACTTTCCTGTCCAATTTGCATGGATGTATCTAAAAACAACTTAATGCTTTTGATGGGGTAAGCTATAACATGATTAAAAGCTCAAAAAGTCCATTAGAATAATGTCAATGTTTTAATGCATACTTGGTATTTGTGGACAGAGTGAGAGATGCAGCAGGAGCAGCAGAAAACTGATCCAGTAAAGATGGAAACACCAGGAGGGAGCAGAGCAGCACAAAGTGAAACATTGCCCTGTTTTATCAGAGCGAGGCTCGGTTTAAAATATCTGCTATGCCCCTTTATCTGCTTTACTGAAATACTAGATTTGTTTTTGAAAACCCCACAGTAATGTGGAGCAGAAAACTTGTGAATAATGGAGATAAAAACCAGATTTGCTCACAACCAACATCAACTGCAGGTCTTTAAACTCATTACTTGAAAAAGAGATCTCGATCTCAATGGGTATTTTCCTGGTTACTTTAATCCCAGTGAACCTGTGCATTTGTGGGTGGCGCACTCATGTCTCTGAGACACACAGGCTATGTGAGGTGTGTTCAGGGTCACAAAGAAAGACAGGGAAACACAGACTCCCACTGCTCCTGATATTTATTACAAACAAAGAAATGTAGTTTGGCGCACGATACTATCCCTGGGCATCCTCATAAATGTCCAGGATCATCACTGTCCACCAGACCCCCCGGCATCTGCAAGGGACCAGTCCAAAACCCAGTGGTAAATTGTGAGAAGATAGGCTGTAGATCCAGGACTCGGGCTGTTGATCCAGGACTCGGGCTGTAGATCCAGGACTCGGGCTGTAGATCCAGGACTCGGGCAATAAGATCCAGGACTCAGGTTATAGATTCAGGACTGTAGATCCAGCTCACAAGTCCTGAGGCAACCAGTTCACAGGTTCAGGTAAAGGAGGCCAGGTTCAGACAGTGGGTGAATAGCAGGGTCCAGGACTTTGAAAGTAGAACAGTGCAGATTTGGCTGCAGCACTAGAAGGTGAAACATCCCCATTATGTGTTCTGAGTGTGTCCCTGTTGCCATGGCAGCCCTGCTCTCCATCAATCACCCACCAGTTCCACTGAAAGCAAATAGCATCACTGCATTTACAGTAAGTGTGGGCTTTGTGCACAAAACTCAACAGTAGGTGTTTTACGGCTCCTCGTTTATGGAAGCTCTTATCACAGGAGAGACGTTCCTCTGGGGCTCGGCCAACACAGTCTCACACAAAGAGCCAATTTAATGAGAGAAGAAGAAGAGCAGTATGTCTCCCTTCAAAAGAGGCCATGTACACACCTCCAAAAACCTCAGTCCTTTATCTGCAGCCTCAGTCCTGGATCTGCAGCCTGATTTGTGCATTGTGTGGTGTGGACTGTGAGGCGCTTTGTGTTGCCCTGTGCAGGAAAAGCGCCCTATAAATAAAGATTGATTGATTGATTGATTGATAAGTCCTGGATCTGCAGCCTCAGTCCTGGATCTACAGCCTCAGCCCTGGATCTGCAGCCTCAGTCCTGGATCTACAGCCTCAGTCCTGGATCTACAGCCTAAGCCCTGGATCTACAGCCTCAGTCCTGGATCTATAGCCTCAGACCTTGAGCTACAGCCTGTTTGTCTGTGGGAGTGGATCCCACACTCATTATGAGCCACTCATTATGAGCCTCTCTGAGGCTCATAATGATACTTTTGTCCCCACTGGGTTTGTGAGTGGTTCCTTGCCAATGGAGGAGGGTCTAAGGACAGTGATGATCCGGGATGTTTATGAACATTTCTGGACAGTGGTCATCCCGCTCCCTATGAACCAATGGCTCCAACCACTTGTGTTTGTTATTATTGCATTTCCTGTGTTCAAACTGTTTGATTTCCTGATCTGTTGCTGGCAAATCAACAACTTTGTAAAGCCCTCTGGAGACAGCCAGAGGAGCATCACGCATCAGGCATGGCCAGCATCATGCCAGACAGTCTCCCAATATGCAACTGCAATCAGAAATATCTACTAGAGCTATTTAAAGAAAACATCAAAACTGATCTGTTTTTGAGGAATCCAAAACTTTCTAAAGTCCTCCGAAACAACTGCTGTGGTGATTTAGGCCGATAGACAAATACATTTAATCAATAGAATTGAACCTTTATAGAACTAACCAGTCGCATTTTCTTACCAAGCCCCTGCATGAACACAGGCCGAATGCTAGTTCACAATAATAATGCATACATTTTTCATATTTATATTTTTGGACACTCAGTGATGCTTCACAAGATTATTCATTCACTCCATACATGGTAGTAGTAAACTACTACTGTAGCCACAGCTGCCCTGGGGCACACTGACATAAGTGAGGAAACCAGTATGTGCCATCAGCTCCTCCGACCACCGATCACACACACACACACCCCCACACACCCACACACACACACACACAAACACACAAACACACACACACACGCCATGGTCATCAGTGACAGTGGAGACAACATTTCTGCTCCATGTGAATCTGGTTTGACCAGAGAAAAGCATTAGCTCATTCTGTACCCAACAACACCATCAGGCAAAAACATCAGCAGACTGTTGGAGTTTCATGACAGATACAGAGAGACTAGAAGAGCCACAGAGAGAAGTGAACTATGCACAATGATGACCGCTTCGGTGTAAACAGGAGAACCGATGCCAGATACAAGTGAAGAGGTGTGGCTCTCCCCAACTCTCAGTGGGATGAACCTCAGTATCCATCCATCCATCCATTTTCTACCCTTTAATCCATTTCTGGGTCAGGGGGGTGGCAGTCAGAGATGCCACCCAAGTCTCATAGCACCAGCCCCTCACTGACCCTCTGCAGGTGGTGAGTCCACAGGAGGACGGCTGCTCTCTGAGTGTGAGCATAGCCTTGATCTTTCAGTGGGGGCTTTGGGCAAAGTGGGGTTAAGTGTCTTGCCCAAGGACACGACAGCAGTCATCAGTGGGAGTCGGTGGAGAAGGTGCAGAGGTGGGAATTGAACCCACGACCTTCTGGGCTTAAGGCCAATGCTCTACCAACTGAGCTACTGTCGCCTCAGTAGCTCAGTACCATTATTAAAGTGTTTCTCTATTGCTACAACACAAAACCCAGTACTCTAAACCAAAAGACCAGTTGCCTAAACACTAGTGCTGTCCAAAATATCGCGTTATTAACGCGTTAACGCAAATCAATATTAACGGCGTAATTTTTTTTATCGCGCGATGTTTTTTTTGTTTTTTTGTTTTTACTTTTTATTGCAGACAAACACATATACAGAAAAAAAATAGAAACAAAGAAAAGGACTAGTTCAGATACATTGTAGACAGAGTGTGACGAAGCGGGTCCGTCTGTAGTTACGTGCGCTTGAGTTTTAAAGTAAAGGCTGACTTTAGTGCCACATGCGCCACACACACACCTGCATGCACACACACACACGCCATTCCAAACGCGCGCACCCTTTTTTTCCCTCTGTTCCATTAATGCTTAACATCCACACGCATCATCCATACTCTTGTCCCTCTCTTCCCTCAGTTACTAGTTCGCCCAGGGGTGCACACTGTGCGGGCTAGAAATACATTTAAGCATACATTCATACACGTACCGGTCTGTCGCGCTCCTCTGCATCTGTGCGCGAGGATCAAACCAGGACCATACTTCCTGGTGGGTTAAATGCGCCCTGGGAGCGTAGGGAATTGTCCCCAAGATTAAATGTACTTATAATGGCCTAATGTTTCATTGTAGAGTATAGTTTTATGTGTTGGACCAATAGGGAATGGGTCCATATATGTATTCTCTGTTTATACGTCCCATTTATAATAATTTATTTTGCCTGTATTTTTTCTGAAGTAACCCACAACACAGAGATTACAAACAATATGTAGTTGGAGATACAGGGGGCCAAAGAAGAAACCCAGAAGGGCACATAGGAGGGGGGGGGGGGGGGAACAAATTTACAAAATATTTACAGATTGTTTATCATCATCATAATGACACCATGATGTTTCTATACAGTCTATGGTCTATACCCACACATACACACACACACACACACAAATGTGTGACTAATTTGCGATTAATCGCGAGTTAACTATGAAATTCATGCGATTAATCGCAATTAAATATTTTAATCGTTGGACAGCACTACTAAACACATTTAATAAAACTAACCCCCACTTTCCACAACCCTAAACAACAATTCTCCTGTAGACACTGTTCACAAAACCCATCCCCTTTTTCTCAAAACTCTAAACACATTTTACTTTTGCTAATACACATTTTTTTCTTTGCTAAAACACATTTTGTTTTGCTGAAACACATTTGCATGTATCTCTCCTCCAATATGCATTGTGAAGCTCATGTGAAGCAAAATGCCTCCCACTGTCAGCAAAACCTGAACTCAATGAACATACCTGGTGTCATTCAGTAAACACAACCACTCAGAACTGAAAACTCCTGTTGCATATGATGTGAACAATACTATAAAAGTCAGTGCAGGTTCCAAAAGAAAATGGAGGATCAAGGCAGGAGAAGAGGAGTTTGTGTCAGAGGAGGGAGAGGAGCAGGTCAAAGAGAGAGAGGAGCAGGCCAAAGAGAGAGAGGAGCAGGTCAAAGAGAGAGAGGAGCAGGTCAAAGAGGGAGAGGAGCAGGTCAAAGAGAGAGAGGAACAGGTCAAAGAGAGAGAGGAGCAGGCCAAAGAGAGAGAGGAACAGGTCAAAGAGGGAGAGGAGCAGGTCAAAGAGGGAGAGGAGCAGTACTCTAGTACTGTACTGTTGTATCTATTGTGTGTCATGGATCCTGGAGTTACTTATTTTTGCATTGAGTTGTGATATAACTATAGTCTCACACTCTGAAAATGGTGTTTTCACTTTTTTTGGTATTGTGGTTAATGATGCTCATAGTGTTTACATTTTTGCAGACCTTGAGAAGTATTTTGGTGTCAAAGTTTACTTTTGAGAATATGAGAAACTGTTTTGGTGTGATGGGTCGGTTTTGAAAAGAGACTGTGAGGTTTTGTGTACGTAGCTTTAGAAAAGTGGTTTGTGTTTAGAGTTTTGAGAAAAGGGAGGGCAGTATCGTGAAATGTGTTTAAGCAATAGAGAAAAACTGTAAATACAGTTCCATTATCAGAGTGGTCTACGTGCTTTGCACCTGACCGCATCATGAGGGACAGACCTAATCATTTAAGCAAGAGCACCCTAAGGGTTACATGGAAACACAAAACTTTGCTCAACGCACACACAATCTCCTTATTGTTTACATAGAAACACGCACTGAAGTGCTTGCTGTCTTGTCTCCATTTAAACGGATGACAGTGGAAAAGTGTGTTTTCATGGCATCATTCTGCCCGTGTTACCATGAATAGTAGTAGTAGTAGTAGTAGTAGTAGTAGTAGTAGTAGTAGTAGTAGTAGTAGTAGTAGTAGTAGTAGTAGTAGTAGTAGTAGTAGTAGTAGTAGTAGTAGTAGTAGTAGTAGTAGTAGTAGTAGTAGTAGTAGTAGTAGTAGTAGTAGTAGCTATTCACCCGCT